TCTTTGTGAGTCTATAAATGACTGATTTAAGGTATTTAGTTCTTATTGTAACTGTGCTTCAGCAGCATCTGGCACCTAAATATTAATTATTCAATCTGGTACCAAATAAAAAAAAAGATTTTTTTTTTCCGTTTTGCTTTGCTGTTACAATTTTTCAAGTAAAACTAATTTTCCTCATGTTAAAATCACAATAAGATGCTTTGGTTTGTCTATCATTAAGTGCAAGCAGTGTTTGTTAGTGCTGATGATGCTCACAGATCGAAATAAATAAATACCCCATTACTTTTCCCTGAGCTTTGAAGGAACTCTCCAGGAAGTTTAAGAAAAAAGAGTAACTGTGAGCAGCATTGGGAAACTCCACTACTGTTGTACTTTGGGTGGGTGGCGGTTATCAAGAATAGAAGAACTACTTTTTTTTTCTGTTTGAAAATACTTGGAGGTAGATATTAGAACCTAGAAGCAGGATTTAAGGAGACAGCTTTAGGTCCATTTAGTAACGTGGATCAGCTTTCCCAACACTCCAAGTTGTAGCACCGAAGGGTTTGTCTCAGTCAGTCTTCCACACCATGTTCAAGACCTTGACCACTTCTTCATAGATGACGAAGACTATGGCAACATCCATACACACCCGACCCAAACGGGGCACAGTACCTTTGTAGAACCTGGATGTGTGGAGAGAGTGGAGAGAGTTTATATTTTTTAATAAAAACTGACAAACAGACTTTTGCCAGACAAACAACTTCGTCTGGCAAAGGTTGTAACAGGTGCCTCACTGTTTTGGGTGTCAATTTTATCGCCTCCTTTGGAGGGTGTGAGTATTAGGCATAGGTGTAATTTGTTGGGGGGGGGGGGGGGGGTATGACCCCCACACTAATTTGATCCAGTCAAAACACCTCCCCCATGACATCATTTGCTCCAACACGATATAAATTATCTGAGTGAGTTAATTTCTGTGCAGAGTTTGCATGTTCTCCTCGTGCTTGTGTGGGTTTTCTCCGGGTACTCCAGTTTCCCCCCACCCCCCAAAGCATGTACAATAGGTTGCCTTCAGGTCCAGGCCTGTTATAAAAGCCAGAGGTGGTGCAACAAAATGCTAGGAATGTGCTGGAGTGTTCTTTGTTTGTTTGTTTTTCATGATTTGGAGAAATTTATAGTTTATTATAGCCCAGTTCTGATTATAAACAACACCAGAGTATTAGGGTTTCCTTATTTTATAATACCTTTATAATGTTTGTTATATTATGTGTTAATTAAATAGGGTAGATACAT